TCAGTAGGATTATATCAGAATCGTCTTTTTTTATGACTCTGTCTATGACTACTTATCTAGAAGATCTCTCAAGTAAGCTACTAATCATATGCTTGAGCTCTTCTTGTATTACCTGCAATATTGTTTTACTACTTGGTTTATCTCTTCTAATTCTTCTTTTTTCTTTGCTTGTTATACTTTTGTATACATAATCTTCCACCACATCTTGAGATCTTTGAGCCTTCTTTTAGACCATGTCCTTTCTGAGAGTTCTTCTATTTCAGTTTTATATTCTTCATTTAAATACTTTATCTGTAAATTAATGTTAGTTCTATTTGTTTTGATGATTTGTTAACTGATTCCCACTGTGTATTGCTGATATATTTTCTCAATTTTTTTTAAATCTTTCTTTATGCTATCACTCTTATTTACTTTTTTTTTTGTCTTGATTCTCTCGAGTGCCACTTTTTTGCCTGGTAATGTAGCTTTAATGCACTTAATAATGCTAGCTGATATTATATCTCACAAATCATCTTTGCTTATTGCTTCTAGTCTGTTTAGGTTATCTTTTCTTTTCCTGTTGCTCAGCTTCTCCTTGAGTGTATTGTTTAGCTTTGCTTTGTAATCTTCCCAGTTCTCTTCTACAGCTTTTTCTAAACTAAACATCTATTTTTTGCCCTTTAGCCTTTTATCACAAGCTGCAGTTCTAGATTTTTTTATAATTCCTGTTACTATGTTTGCCTTTACTATCACATAGTCACTATTTGTAATTGCATCAGACTCAATTATCTGGCAACTTATTAAGCCTTGTGCTAAATTTTTTGAGATCCAGATATAGTCGATTCTAGATTTACTTGATCATTTGATCTAGTAAACTTCTTTTTATATGGATATAATTTTCTGAATATGTCTACTATATCTGAGTTGCTTAGCTAATTCAAAAGAGGGAGTTTCTGAGTTCGTTTTGAGTCTTCTCTATTTTGGTCGAGGTCCTTGCATCTTATATCATTCAAATCACCCATTACTATAATTTTTATAGCTTTTCTTCAGCAATCATAGATTCTTTTTATAACTTGCTACTATACATCCTTTCTAGTCTTCTGATTATTATGAGGGATATATACTACTATTACCTGTACTTTTTGCTTTTTGAATATGAAAAGGGCTTCTATATAGTATGCATTGCTTCGTTTTACCTAGCCCAGATGCTTTTCCTATTTCTTATTCATAATTAATCCTACTTCAGACTTTTTTTTCTTGTTTTCATCTGCATCTATTCAGATCCTTAAATAATCTTTGTATCTACTCATACTAAACTTATTTTGCCTTTCTGTTGTGTTAGTTTCATTAATCCTAATCATGTCTATTTTCTCTTGTTTTGCCTATTCCAGAAGTATTTCTAATTTAACTGAGTTGCCTTTGATCCCATTAATGTTATGCATAGCTATATTTAATATCCAATAGTCTTCTACTATAATACTTTCACTCTTTCCTGCTTTGTTTCTTTTTTCTATTCTCCTTTCTAACTGAAGACAGTTTGCACCACTGTTTATTATTATTAGTTCAACTAGTACGTCTGTTAGGAGCAATTAGGAGCATCTTACTCCATATGTTAGATTTTCTCTTCAAGGCTTCTTATGAGCTACAGCATATAGTCTATAGTATTCTCATAACTTCTATATAGTTCTTGCAGTATTATATTACTACTAGATGCTTCGCTGAGAGGAGCTCTTCTTTTCTCTTCTCTGATTTCTTTGCTTTTCTTTTTGGAGTATACATTTCTCCATTGGCATTCTATATCTGAGTTTTCAGTATCTGATACTTCATCTTTGTTTGATTCTGTATCTGAAGAGCTTAAACTCTGTATGTTTCAGTTATAACTTTCTTTGTATGTCTCATTATAATATGTTTGCCTTTTCTCTGTTTCTATTTTTTTACTCCCTGTTATTTCATCTTTCTCTTTTGCCTAGTTGAGTCTAGTATTAGAATAGAATACTGCAAACTTTGTGCTATTTATGCAGTCCTTTTTATTTTTAAAGTATACAGTTATACTTCTTCTACTATTACTATTAGAGTTTCTGAAAATATATAATGCTTTAGCACTTATACGTTTTACTTGTCTCCATAAGAGGACTTCGTTAGTGTTTTCTGACAAGTTGAGCAATTTTCTGTTGAATATATTATGTGCTTTCAACTTCTCAAGATTGCACTTTTCTACTATAACTCTGACTAGTTGATCTCTCATGAAGAGCAAACACCATATCTCTGCTAAAACTCTTGTATTTGTTGTATTAGGAAGGAAGCTTGCTTCTGCTCTTATCTTATCATGAGACTCTTTAATTATTTCTATGTAAGCTACTCTTCCTAAGTGCTGTATTGTTTTAAAGACCTGAGATCTTCTCATGCAAGTTGGTAAATTCCATATTGTTATATGGTCTTCATTTGTTTCTAATATTCTTTTCTTGTTTTGTCGATTGAATAATAAATTATTTTCTGATATAGCTATTTGTTTTGGGTCAGAGTATTGAGATGTTTTCTTTTTCTTTTGATTAGAGATTTCTTCGAGCTCTCTTTTTGCTCTACTTTCCTTCTTAGCTTTGCTTTCTTCTTTTTTTGTATTGTTTAGTAGTTTTTCTTGTGATTTTTTGACTGTAGATATTTGCAGAGTTACCTCTCATATAAGTCTCAATTTTTTGAAGTCTTCTTTAAAGTTTTCTAATTTGACTTTTGCTTCTTCGTAGCCTTTTTCACAGTTGAAAGTGATTATACACCAAAGATTCTCTTTTTTGAATTTCTCAAAGATCTTTTCTAAGTATGTGTTCTCTCGAAGTAACCATTTAAGAGATTTTTCTCTCTGCTCTGAATTATCACCAAGCATGTTTATAGTAGCTACCTTTGTCTCAATAATTCCCTTGTTTACGCAGCTTTCTTTTTTTGAAGCCTATATACTTTGATCTAGAGAAACTTCTTTATATACTTCTGTATCTACTTCATTATTTGCTTGTTTTTTAACTTCAGTATCTTTTTGATCAAGTATAGCACTTCTTGCAGTTTTGTTTGTTTTGATATCTTCTATATCCTCAGATATATTGCTATCTGCTTTAGTAGTTAATATGAGTTTACTGTTTAAGCTCTTTGATTCTATGTAGTTTTGAGAGAACACTGATATATGTAGAGTTGCTTGTTCTTCTTTTTCTACTTTCATTTTAATTTCTTTTGTCTTTACTTCTGCTTCTTCTGTATAACTCATTCTTTTTTCTTTTTCTGATTCTATTAGAGCTCTTATACTATTGAATCTATCTGTTATTGCAGCTATTTCAATTACTGCATACCATTGCCTAGCTATTTTAACAATTTCTAATTCTATACCTATCAACTTAGCTACTATTTTGTCTAGGTACTCTTATAAGCCTAGCACTACATTGCTTTCTTCTATTACTATTTCCTTACCATATTTTTAAATTACTTCTTTAATTAGTCTTTTAGTCTTTTCTTTTTTCTACATTTTTTGTTATTCTAGTTTACTCTCTGATAAGTCTATATAAGTTGCTTGTTTAGTCTAGAGTACTTTTCCCTTATTTGAAACTTAATATGTTATATCTTGAAATGACTTCGCCTTTTTTTTGAAATTTCTAAAGATTTTTCTTGATTGCTTATAGTTCGTCTTGTTTTGGTCTTGCATATACCGTCTATGTTTCAGGCATGTGATACATAATTTACCTGTAGCGTGTTTTGTTTACCTTTTTTTATGTGTTTGTACTATGTGAGATGATCTGTATTTCAGGGTTTGTTTGATTTCCCAAAATAATTTTCTAAAAGTTTTCATATTTTGTTCAAAGGCCAAACTTCTTCTATAATACTTGATTTTCTTTAGATTTTTTCTGTTTTTTTTCTTTAGTATATGTATTTCTTTCTTTTCTTTCTTTTTATTTAAGGAGTCTTATGCTAGTTCTTAGTGAAGTCTTTGAGTTATCTTAATTTTTCTTTCTGCTTCAAAATTGCTCGAAGTGATCGATAGAGAGAGTTGTTTTTATGTATTTTTTAATTGTTCTATTTTTTCAGTTATTTCTTTATTAAAATAAGATAGATCAAAGTTAATTTTAGTAAGAAGTTGTTCAAAAGAGTCTGGTTCTATTAAAAGTAGTATTTCTAAATAGTTATTATTCTGATTATTTTTGTCTAAAAGTAGAGTTTCTAATAATCTTCTATTAATTAAAAAAAATTAAGTTCCTGTAATTAATAAAAAAGAAGTTAAAGAGATCAAATCTTTATTCTATCAGTTAAAAAAATTATTTAATATATCCAAAGTTTTAAGTTGCATTTGTTGAGTAATAGTAGAATCTATTTTAAGAATTTTGTCAAAAAAGTTAATTTTTAAGAAAGAAGAATTTTAAGGTTTTTCTAAATTAAAAAGAAATAAAAGAAAAAAGTATTTATTTATAAGTTTTGATATAATACAAAAGAAAATTTTTAATATTGTATGAATTAAATTTGATTCTAAAATAGGTTTCACAGTATTTCAAGAATTTTTCTAAAAATTCTTTAATTGCAATATCGCGAGCTAATAAGAGTCTATATATTAGTAAATTTTATTAGATGATCAATATGCAAGTTGCTTAAAAAGCAAAATTTATATCAAATTAAAGTAGTTCAATAAGAGTTAAATTACTGCTATAGTTATTTAAGAAATATTAAACAGAAGCCTAGGTTTTTTAGTAGTAGATACAGAAAACAATATTAAATATATAAAGCAAATAATTAATAAGAAAATGTAGAATAAAGAAGAGATGATAAGAATGATTAAGAAAATAGCTAAAGAATATAGTAAAGAAATTTTAGCTGAAGCAAACAAGTCTGTAATAGGATTTGAAGAACATGTAGACAAGATAGTAGCAGATATAATAGATATAGAAAGTAAAGTAGTAATAGTAGCAAGAAAATGAAGAAAAGTAATTAGAAGAGCAGCAATATATGAAGGAATAGAAAAAGTAGAATAAATTCTAAAACAAGTAAGTAGTGAGACAAGTAATAATTTTGTTAAACAAGAACTAGAAGTGAATAAAATAAGTATAGAAACAACAAACATAGATAAATCATCTAGTCTAGAGCTTATAGAAATAGAGATGACCCCAGATGAAACTCAACCTAAAGCAAAAGCAAAAGCAATAACTAAAAACGTAATAAAGAGTATAGAAGGAATTAAAACAATTCAAAAAAACATATTAGATTTAACAAAATCATTAGATGATAGTATCTGATTACTAAGAGAAGAAAGATACAAAAATACAAAAGATATAAAAGCAAAAGTTTCAGTAGCAAATATACTTAAGGATAATGTAATTTATCAAGCAAAGTTACTAAAATAGGCACTTAGAAGAAACTCTCATGTAAAAAGAATATATGAAAAGTTTTCTAAAGAGAACTTATAGTGTGTACTAATTTTTAATTGTGAGAAAGGTTTTGAAGACATACAAAGAAGATTAGCAGAAAGAAAAGAAGAACATGAATAGTTTAGATTAATAATGGAAGAAAAGATTTTAGAAGCAAATTATCCTAAAATAACAGAAACTAACAATCAAAATAGTAAAGAAACTAAGAAGAGTAAAAGTAATACAGAGTAAACAGATAAGAAGATAAGTCTTATAAAATCAAAAGTAATACCAAAAGAAGAAAGAAAAGAGAAACATACTACTCATGAAGAAAAAAAAAAAGAAAAAAGCAAGCAAGACTAGAATTAGAAGAGCAAACAAGATTAGAATTAGAAGATATATATATTTACAAAAGCAGAAACAAAAAAGCTAATATATATGAAAACAAAAATGAAAAAGTGTCTACTAGCAAATATGAATTGCAGATTTTAAATACATAGATTAATAAATGATCTTTATACTCACTCGCTAGAATAAAAAGATTATTTAAT